AGAATTAGAGCCTCCCATATTGCCAAGACAATGGGAGAGTGTCTTAACTTCTATAGCAAGAGTGTCAATGGACCTTAAACTACAACTTATACAACAAAGAATTTTTTTTTTTCCAATAAAGTAAGGAGAGGCAGACAAGGATTGCACTTGCTTTCTGCATTCAGTGATCATCATGGGATCTTTAAGGAGGAGAGCTTCTTCTCCAGCACTTCTAGGAATAGTCATATAACCACAACTGGTTATGTAACTCGACAGTGTTTTTATAATGCAATACTTTTACCTGGGAAGATTATTACATAAATCTGTCATAAAACCACTGATGCCTAGGTATTTTGAAAACAATGCAGCATGTATTGTTATCAGATTAATTTCATTTCATTTCTGGATCAAGTAACTTCTTTGTGGAAATGCTATAAAGCACCTGACAAAGTGTGCATGACATTCTGATTAAGTTATTTAAGTCTGGTTGGATGAGATTTCTATATGTTTAATCCATAGCTGGCCTGAAATCCCATCCAGGATGCTCATCAATGGCTCCTCATCATGTTGGAGAGAGGTATAATGTAAGGTGCCATATGACACTTTGGTATAGGGAAAAGCTTATCAGAAAACTGGATAGGGCAGCTAAGAGACTAAGAAGCCAAAAAAAAATTCAAAGTGATCTTGGTAGATTAAAGAAGTGGGTTGAAAATGACATTTAATATACATTTAATAACAACAAATGCAAACTTCTTCACTCAAGCAAAAACATACAGGCGTATGGAGGATTTTCTGTTTTGAGGTATGAGTGAAAAAGACTCTGGAATTGCAGCTGATCACTTACAAGCTAAATATGAGTTGAGAGGCTGATATGACTGCTAAAAAAACAAATGTAGTTTTAGGCAATATCAACAGAAGGTAAGGACATCATAGCATTTTTCAAGAATCTGGAGAGGTACATCACACAGAGGGGATGGGACAACTTCCAAGACTTACTAAGTCTGGCAATTTTATCCTGCTCCTAATTCAGCTCCTAAGATCAGCTACATCCGTGAACTCTGAAGATCACTGAAAGAAATTCAGGAACTTGTGAGGTGAGGCTCACATTCATCTTTCCAGTCCATGGAAGAGGGCTCAAAGCAAAGGAATCCTACAAGCAAATGGCTATGCCAATGCTGTTGACAGAAGTGAGCTGAGTTCTTGCATTATGATTTGAGTAATTTGGATGATTGACTACTGGCATGTGATTAGTTGCATTTCAGAAGTATTGAGAAAAATATTCTTTGCTGCAGCATGGTGAGTCCAAACCCTATATGGTAGTGGTGGGCCACTGACAGCCCATAGGCCAGCACCCAATTTGAGATTCTCCAATACCCCCAAGTAATGCCACCAAAATTTATTAAGCTGAAGTGGCAAGATTTTACCCAATTTTTATAGGTTGGGAGGTTAAGTTCCAGCTATACTCCCCAACTCTTCAGCCCTGTACCCCAGCTCTAGTATTATACGCAGTTTTGAGCACCACTTTCTAACAAAGAGGAAGACAAACTGCAAGAGGATCAAAGGAGGAATCCAGAACTATGAAAAAAGACTGAAGGAACTGAGGGGTGATTTGACAGCACTAAAGAAGATGATGATCTATCACCACTGATTAAATGCCAATGGAATGTCAAGGGAAAAAAATTAACGTTTGTTAGCAGAATTAATTACCCAGGGACATAGTGGGATCTCCTTCACTGTAGGTATTCAGAAAGAGACTGGCAGCCATCTGTATCTAGCAGGGGGCTTATTTTTTGGATTCTAGCTCTGAGCAGTGGCTTGGACTGGGTCTTCTAAATGGCTCCTTCCAACAATATGATTAAACAATACGGTGGGGGAGAATGAGAAGTTTTCTAACTTATCTCAATGATCCAAAATACCCATGAAGGTACATACATTATCTTGCAATAAAGAGAAGAGGCAGCCCCATTTATGTCTAAAGTCATCATTTTGGGGGGAGCATGTCATCTGCATTCTACTCTGCTATTTCTCTATTCAGACCTACTGAAGGGAGGGAGGGAGGGAGGAGAATTTATCGCTGAAGCTGAATTTTTCTTAACCCTCTTCTGGAATAATAGTTGTGCAAGATTTTTTAAATCAAAACAGCTTTAATGTTGAGGCCATTAACTAAACTAATAAGAGGAAATATTAGTACAAGGCTGAAAAAAAAAATCTTCCTGTGATCCTCTAGGTACATACCTCTATTGGCCACAACCTGGGGTTCTCCTGGACTCAGACTTTGTGCTAGGGCAGCAGGTTGAGCCTATGCCCAGGAGACCCTTCAGCCAACTTTGGCTGGCCTGGCAGCTGTGACCTTTTCCAGAACCAGGCAGTGCTGAAGCAGTAACTCACACCTTTTAATCTCTCTGCAACAAGTTGCAGCTGGCACAAAATGTGACTGCACACGTGCTGACCAGCATTACCCAACCTGGCAGAATAAGGTCTGTGTTGCAGGAGTGACACTGGTTGTCTGTAGGCTTCCAGGCCCAATTCAAGATGCTGGTGGTTACCTAAAAATGCCTTTATAGTTTAGGCCTTCTTATCATTGGGACCGTCTGCCTGCTGCATGAAGACTAGCCTGGAGGCAGTGCTGTGAGTGGGATCTCCCAAGAGATCAGGAGGATAGGGGCCTGATGATGGCCTCTGCCAGGTCTGCTACGTTCAAATCCCAGTGAGGAAAAATCTCTTGAAACTCGTGTTAAGTTCAAAAAGAAATTCATTTATTGGAACGTACGTGCAACTCTGTACAGCCTCTTCCATAGCTGTCTTCTCATTTTAGCATAGCTTGCTCCCAAAAGCCAGGCTGGCCCCCACCTTCCTGTCTTTTACGAAGGCAATGAAAACTGATTTTCTACCAGGCATTTGGAATGGAAGACCTTTATCAGGTAACAGCAGTAGAAGGATAGCAAGGGTACTAATTGCCTAACATTGTGTTCTTATGCTTTTATAACTGTAAGCCATATAAAGCCTGGTGAGTGGGTACCATACAAATAGTTGTAAGCAGGGAAGGAAGGAAGAAGGAAGAAGGAAGAAGGAAGAAGGAAGAAGGAAGAAGGAAGAAGGAAGAA